TACCTATATTATACAAACTAATCGAGGAACCAAAACCGTAACCGAGATTGAACACACCTACCTACGCAACATTCTTATACATTAAGAAGTAAAAGGTTTGCTTCATCAGATTTAATTTACCACAAGGACTAAAGCATACACATAAAAACTTACTTGGACAGTTTTTTTTTTATTGTACCATAATTGATTCATAAGTTAGAATTTATCAACACCAACACCAGGACGTAGTACTTCATAAGCAGCTCTGCTCCTGCTTTTCTTCATCCCAGCCGTGAAATAGACCTTTGACGCATCTGCTGAGATACAAGTCACTTTCACCCATATCATCACCTTTGTTTTCAAGCCTTCCACGTCCGCTAGCTTCCCTTTCTCCAGATAACCCGTTACCGTAGTTGAAAACCGCACGACCGATGAATCCTTGTACCCAACCTCACAGGTCTCAGGGATGAAGACAGTCAATTTACCCGTCTCTTCGTTGAACTCATAGTTTGTGGCATCCAGTGGAAAGATCCCAACCGGTAAATCAAATTCCTTCAGCAACTCAGGTAATGGCTTCTGCATTTTTCCTATTCAGAACAAGAATAACGCCACATTCAATTGTCGATAGCACATTTAATAAACAACAGAAATAGAAAAAACATGACTATTTTGTTTTCGTGGTTTGACACAACAGATACTACAAAGTACATAATTTGAACTGGATATCATGTTCACCATATCTATCAAAATGATGTCTGAAACAACCATTGAAGAAACACCTAATCTACATGGCTCATCAGTGGAATCTTTACATTGAATATCTTCTAGAAACCAATATACCACATGGAACAGTTGAGAAGCGAGAATAGTCAAGTGAGTAAAGTGAAGCTTATTACCCAAATAAGAACTCTCGATACAGATCATTTACCGCCAAAGGCGAGAGCATCGTCAGACATTTTGGAATTAAGTAACAAAAGATAAGAAAACGATGAAACGAGAAGCGGAAGAAGTATAGAAAACCTTTGATTTTGTTGACCAACCACTTGGTACCTCCTTCAATACTGCTAGATAATGACTACAAAGAAAGAATCCAAATTATCTCTTAGGAGTTCGAAAGCAATAATCTTTTTCATGATTACCAAATTGTAACATTAAGAATCATAACCAATAGTAACTCTATATCCAATCTTTCTTTCTATAGCAACTCAAGAATCTTCCACTAAAGAGCAATGTTCCCCAAATTTAATGAAAGTATTCAATTTAAAGCTACAAAGTTATGAAAATTCCATTA